TAAATGATACCGTGCAATCAGTCGACCTTATCGCCTGAAAAAGACTAGCAGTAAGCAGTCGAAACGTCGCGATCTACATCTCAAGTGACTACATCGAGAGACAAACGATAATACACTTTATTATTGCATCTACCACGATGAATAACAACAACCTTTCCCCCGACATACATTGTACACCTTTTTTTAACCACTCCTTAGTGGTCTTTCTTAAACACTTTTATAGCTTAACTCGAGAAAACATTGGATTTAGTTTCGCCTTAGAGAGTGAATTCTTTTGGCCGAACTTGTCGCAAAAAGTACCTGCTTTATTAACCGTACAAATTAGACGTTCACTAATATTTAACAAACAAATTGCGGGCTCTGTTCTGTTATAAAGCCATATTTGTACCCTCAACGAAACACAAACGTATCCACTGAACGTTAAGACGTGTGAAGCCTTTTGAAAGATAGATTGAGAGAGGAATACCATTCCGACCTGAGTCTCGGAGATGTTGAGTAGTTATTTATATTGTGTAATTCTTAACGCTTGTAAAATGGTTTTTGATGATGGTTTGCAATGAAATCCAGCAATTGAGGGTTGAAGACTCACAATTATTTCGAGGTTTAAAGAGGCTCTTCAGGTTTCAAAACACTATTAGTCGATCTAACAGTAGCTTAGAGTAGGCAGCCACAAATTATAAAATACGATTTTTCCCATTAGATACATTATCCTTTTCGATAAATGATTTTCTTTAGAGTAGACCGAAAATCCTGCAATCTGAGAGAATAAATAACTGGATTAAGAAAAGAGTTCGCGTAATGAAGTAACTTGCAGAGGTAAATTGCTTGGTATGACGGCTGCGCAGAACAAGGAAAGACCTTGCATTTCAAAAACACGATTAGATTGACGATGTGAAATGGAAGCCAAGTTAGGATAAACACCGTTGTTACTATAAACACAGTCATTGCAAGTTTTCTGTCGTTTTCTATGGCTCGCCTGCTGCGCTCCTTGCCAGCATGTTGGCATAAACTTGTCAACGGACGCAGCCTTTTTTCTGAGCCTGCGTCGGACGACTCTAAGCTGGCCTCTCTAAAATACGCCTTCATCTCTTTTGCTTTCAACCAAATAGCGAGGTAGGCTAACAGCATGACTAACATTGACGAGAAAAAAGTCAGAATCAAAAACCAGAAAAAGACTTTGTGTTGGATTAATTCATATTCGTGGAAAAAGTATAGACTTGACAAGAGAGTTGCTAGGATCCAAACAAAAGACACAGACAAGTTGTACAACGTTCGCGTTGAGGTGCGATGACGAAGAGGAAAACAAATAGCATACACTCTTTCTAAAGCAATGATGGTGAGAGTGAACGTAGAACCCAGACCACAAAATACGTCCAGCGCTTTCACGATTTTCAAAACCGTGGATTTCGAGACAAAACTATCCTGCCAAAAGCTAACGATTTGGTAAATGAAAGCCGGACCCGAAAACATTCCCACTGTCAAATCCGCCACAGCCAGGGAGAGAAGGAAATAGCTTGTGCGCCTGCGTAGTAGTCTCTTTCTAGTAAGCACCGCAATAGCTATTGAGTTGCCAGTAATTGTGGCCAGCGACACTACGCCAAAGGCAAGCGACCAACCGACTAACGAGGCGACGTCTGCTTGGTCTCCTTGTGAAGTTTCGTTCATTTCTTCTCCCAATCTGGAAAACCGTGAACAAAGAAATTGCTTTAGTGATACGTTCACTAACAAATATAGAACGTTTTACATTTAAGGACGGTGCTTACTAAATACAAAGGTTTTTGCGCCAGGTTAGGACCACGCGGAAAAAGTACATCTTTGCAAGGGCTATTGGAATCCACAAAGAAAACTGGGGGTAGCCACGCATTTGTTCGAGATAATTTGTCTTGAATTTCAACAAAAGTACTGACATCAGCATTTTTCTGACAAAAGAAGAAAAAGATATTTCTTCACAGATTTCTCTAGAATTCGCCTTTACATACAGAAAAGCAAACAAATTTATAAAGGTCTTAAAACTGCATGGTAAATGGCGACATAAAAACCATTTTTGATATCTTTTAAATAACAAAATCGTTGCAACAGCGCTTTTAGCGTCTCTGACAGCCTTCCTCGGGTTCAGCTAAAATAGTCTAAACAACTTTTGTTCACAACCATAAATTAATCACGTGTTGAATAGGCTTGCCACTTCCATTTCATAACAGAAAATGTAGGGGTAACCACGCGTTTTTTAAAGTTATTGATCTTTTTTGAAAACTTTTACGGCGCCCGTTACATTTCTTTCCGGTCACCTCTCCAGTAGGTAAAACAATTGCGTATCTCACACTTGTTTTGCGCGCGCACTACGCCATCTGCAGGTACATTACAGCCGGATTTCAGGATAGTAGCTTACGATGCTCCTTAAATCGTCTGTTGATGGCGCTTTTCAAAAGATGTTTCTTAATTGCCAATACATCTTGTCGGGCGGTGTTTGAAGGTAGGTGAAAACAAAGAAACTTCGGGTAAACATTGAGCGACTTGCAGTTTCGCAGGAACGCTAAATCCAGTTCCGACTTTCGTTTCTTTATCGAGATCTTCTCGAGTTTGCGGAGGTCAGAGGGGCTGATCCTTCCATCATACTTGGCTGCGATGTTGTAGATTATTGCTCCAAAANAATAAGTTAAGGTGGTGAAACTGAATTCCAAAGAAATGTTTTATTGCAAAAACAAATCATAGCAAAGACGAATATTCGTTATTATTCTGTTGGTTTGTGCTTTTTTTTTACTTTCAGCAGGGGTTTTCCTTTAATTTACAAATAATTTTACAAGCCAAGGAGCCTCTTCTTAATGTGTCACTTTGTTTGTGTGGCTTTGTATTCAGAGGCGCGTAACCAACAGAAACCAAACACAAAATGAAGTAAACATCAGTCAAGCGTAATCACGTGGGAAGTGAACTGGAAAAAAGCCAAATGACCTTAAGACAAAATTTATCGTGAGTTAAAATGCCATGTATGAAAGTCTGGAACAGTGGATTTCTCAGATAAGATTTTAGTCGCTAAAAACTTGAGTTCAGGAACTACATTAATATACTAACGTAACGAGTTTGGTTTGCCCACGTTTGGTCTGTGTTGACATTTAAATGATTTAAAACTCGTGCAACAAAACAGGGGTCCTTTTGCCGACTTCAAACTGCATTAGCGATTTTGAAAGGTAACAGCTTTCAGAGATATACAGGAAAATGTCACCGAAGACGTAATTGTCTTGCATCACTGCAAAATATGTTAAAAACAGAAAATTTCAACCCAAAATTCCTTCAACTAAAAAATGGTTACAATGTTTCGGATAAATGGTCTAGGACAACTGTATGTTACATTTTAATTTGTGTATTAAGAAAAGTTAAAGTAAACACATGTATTCTTTGTACTTGGACTCTGCAGAGGGTTTACAGTCTTTTTTATCTACTAAAAATGTCCAATTAACGCCGAAAAACAGATGCCCTTATCTGCGCTTTTGGCATGTTGCGTTGAATTTTCAAGTTCGATGGCAATGATTCTAGGAAAAATTTAGTGAATGATTGCCATCAGTGTTAGCAATGGTTAGCTTCTGGTGCTTCCATTCAAACCGCTCCACTTTGTAACACAAGCAAAATCGACCAGTCTGAATTGCTGAGCGAACTCTGCCTCGTAAAGAAAGTCATTTGATGATCTATGTTATAAAGCTTTGTAATTCAGACCACGTTTTGTTTGAGCAAAATAGCGATAACAAAATAATACATTTGTCTCAAGTCCGAAGCGGGTGTCGTGGCGGAATTGAGTTGGCCAGCGATTCGGCAGGCTGAAATCTCTCAGCAAAGTGAAATGTCCCCGATAATTAATGAACTAAATGCGATTTATTTAATTCGTATCTGTATTTCCCTTGGAAGGAAAATTGACTGGAAAAACCCCGATTGAGCGAAAACATTTTCCACTGGCAGCACTCGACTTGCAAACACTTTCTTGAAACACACTTAAAAGAATAGAAAATCTGCTTTTTACCCTAAAGCTATTGAACCTTAAACCAAAATATTTTCAAAAATATCCTTTCTATCAAAAATCGCCGATCATTTTGTATCGATGTAAACTAAAAACGCATTATCGTTGATTTCGATTCGTGCCTTTGTTTTCAACACTAGAATATAGCTTTAAACTGCTTCCTTTAAAACGTTTACATACACACCATTCTGAGTGACCTTCAAATTGGGCTTTGAAAGAGACTGGCGGGTTGTGATATTTGAATAATTTAGCTCCTTTTAAAGAAGTTAATCTATACTCTTTTCAAATAATGAACATGATGTTTTTCGTGGATTAGAAACTATTAGGTTAATAAAAAATACGAGGAAGAAGCTGATAAGTCGAGACCTTTTGAAACTCCATAGTTCCTTGGCCACTATCACTGAGTTATTTCTTGATACCTAAATTCCATTTCATTGTTATAGAATTAGAAAGAATCGAACACGATACCTTTTTGGTGGATGTTTTCTCCCCTTCGTTAAGTCTGGGTATAGCAAATAAAGCTTCCCTACGGATTCGCAGCGGTGATTGAAACAACTTGCCCCAAACCACTTGAGGTGAAATCAAAACCTACTCCGCTCAGTGAAAGCGTATACATATGCAAATGAGAAAGGCTCAATATCATTGTGCATGCATGTTGACTTAGTCATCTCTAAAAACAACGATTTACTGCTGTCGATTTTCACACGTAAATAGAATCAACGTTTTTAGGGGAAAGTGTTGACGATTGATTTTGCATAGCAAAATACTATTTGTACAAAAACCAAATGTCTTTTCTTTGTCTTTTTTCTGATATTTCCTTGTTTCAGTAAAAAGCAGGCACCAGTATACCTCGTCCGAAATTTGAATTTGTGTTTGAAGAGTTTCTTACTGCGATGCCAGATTTTGGTGACAAAGAATACTTCAATATCCTCGAACTGTCAGTAACGTTACATGACTTGGAATCAAAATGAAGCAGAGGAAAATTCAGATTATACTT